GTAACATCTAGACTATGATACATACGGCGCCTAATAGGATCATAACACCGATACCCCTTAGACTGATGACAATAGCCCACAAAGATACAACGAATCACTTTATCATCATGCTTATGACGAGTAGGAGACCGATCTTGAACAAAACATGTGCAGCCAAAAACACGAGGGGAGACCGAAAAAAGTGTCTGCTCAGGGAATAAAACCTGTAAGGGAGCCCTATGCTGAAAAACACGACCCGGTGTACGATTACACAGGAAGGTAGAAGTCAAAACCGCAAAATGCGAATAAGATTTTGGTACCCCCATATCTCTAAGCATACAATGTACCATCCCTATTAGACTCCTATTTTTTCTTTCAGTAACTCTATTTTGCTCAGGAGTATATGGACAAGTGAGTTGCTGAAGGATACCCTGAGAAGAAAGGTGAGACACTAGGACATCAGACACATATTTTTTAGCATTATCCGAACGAAGAGCACGAACAATGACATTGAATTGTGTCTTAATCATCTGAAAAAACTGAGTGATGATAGGGAGTACATCAGACTTCCTATGCAAAAGGTAGACCTAAGTACGAGTATGGTCATTTATAAATGTCACATAGTATCGAGCACCTGACAAAGCAGTAATAGGAGAGGGTCCCCTAATATCAGAGTGTATTAGATCAAATAACTTGGGTGACTGGTGCATGCGAGGAATATAACTGGTCTGAACATGTTTCGATAGGGAACATATAACACAGTCAAATTTATCACCAACACAAGCATTGCTCAAAGCAAGAAATAACATACATAAATATTTAAAATTTGTATGCCCAAAACAGTCATGCCACAACTGAACAGTTTGTGATGAAAAATTATAACAATAAGTACTAGGCAAAATACTAGTATTCAAGTTAGGAACAGATAAAGACAAAGCAGGTGCAGATAATGGAGGAGGAACTGGTGAAACTGGAGGTGGATCGCCTAGATAATACAATCCATCTCTCTCATGTCTTTTGATAATAATCCTCTTGGTACTTAGGTTCTACAAATAACACGAATCAGATAAAAATACAACCGCACAGTGAAAATCTCTAGCTAACTGATGTACGGATAATAGATTCATAGCTAATTTTGGCGCATGAAAAATCGAATGTAATATAAAGCCATCTGGAAGGCGGACTGTACCCGTACTAACAATAAGGGCATGTGTCCCATCTGCTAGCTGAACTTGTGTATGTAACTATTCGTCAAAAGTGGTGAAGTGATGAGCCTCACTCGTTATATGACCATTAGCACCCAAGTCCAGCATCCAAAGGGGAGACAGACTGGCGCAAGTATGAAAAGCACGAGATATACTAGTAGTAGTCGCAACAGTAGTAGTCGGACCTCGAGAAGTCAAGGCTGACATAAGTCTATCCAAGTGAGAAGTGATAGCATCCATATCATTTTGCCAAGCAGGAGCAATGACTATAGGTGATGGTGCCTTACCAATGGCAACAGCGTGGCTGCGAGAAGGTGGCTTAAGCTCCGAATGGAGCTTTCAACAAGTAGCCCTGAGATGTCTTGATCGGTCACAATAATCACATTGACGTGAAACTGCCCGTCTGCGCTGATCTGGGATGTCCTGTCGGTGTTGGTCCAGGCGACCAGGCAGTACATTCCAAGTGGAAGTACTAACAGTGGATGTCTCAACGGTAGAGGTGTCAACAATAGGGGTCTCAAGTCCCTCAATAGTAGTCATATCAACAACAATAGTATGGCACACGTGACAGCAAAAATAACTCTAAGATAAATAGAGGGATAAAATAAAGGAGAACAATATATCTCTAGTTGAACAATAGCGACAGATAAAGAAGGTCCAGAAAGCTTCCAAATAATCAGGTCACGGTGCCCAGAATTCCAGTAAATGAAAATAAATGATCTACTGCATCAAGAGCAAATCAACGGAGAAGAGAGTTCAACCCCTCTTAAAACAATCCTAGATATTGCAACTTGGCAGCATTATGACGAAGACTGTGAACGACGAAGTTACAACGAAGAAAAAGGACCCGACAGTGGGCTGAGTAACAGTGGGCTGGTTTAGTATATGTTTAATGGGTTGGGTCTGGTATGTGTTTTCTTTTAGACTGGCCGGTGCTTAGGTATAATGAAGGAGGCAGTCGGTGCTGCTAGCTGTTTGGTTTGTATAGCTGTTGGTTTAGTATTTTATATCGCTTGGCTGTCGGTAGAGTTTTATGCTAGTTGGTGAAGTTTCATACTGGACAGTAACTGGGTTCTTGTCAGTGATGTGGGCTATTTTGTTGGCTGTCGGTGATGATCGGTTTGATGTTTTAAGAATTGGGTTTGGCTGTGTGGGTTTGCTATGGGTATGTCGGTGCTGTTTTGTTTTAGGTTGGGTTTGCTATTGGGTTTGGCTGTGAAGGATGGGCAGTGGGTTTGCTATGGGTAGGCTGTCGGTGCTTTATGGATTTAGTCGGTCAATGCTTTGTGCTGATTTTAATGGATTGGGTGTTTCGGTGCTGTTGGGTTGCTGTCGGTGCTGTGTATTGGTTCGTTGGATTGGTTTCGACTGAGTGGTGTCGGTGGTCTGAGTTATGGGGTTTTGTCGCTGGGCAGTGGGGGATTTAGTTGGTTTGTTGTTGGTATGGCAGCAGTGTGGTGGCAGTATGGTGGTTGGTGGCTGCAACGTGCTGTGATGAAGGCTGCTAATTGTTGGTGAGGATGACGGAGAAGGTTAGGGTTAGGGTTAGGGTTAAGGTTAGGCTCTAATACCAACTTGGAATAAATGTGAGTGAAAAGGGATACTCAAACTAAGAGTAGAGCTCCATATATATAGTCAAATAATAATACAAAGTGACCAAAACATCCTTGTGGTCTAGGCAAAATATAAAATCATAGTAAGGATAAAAAAGGGAAAAGAAACTCTAATAAACTAGACTATACTCCAACAAGCAGGATAGAGAGCGACTTGTGATTTATAAGCTTATTATGTATTCTTTCTTTTTGCTCATTTTATTTCTTGATTGGATCTCTTATCCAACATTTTTGATGTACTTCCCAATTTTGATTAATACACGAGTTTGTTTCCTATCAAAGAAAGAATGAATATGGAAAATAGAAAATTGCGTCCAGATAGAAACTGGCAGAGTTGTTTTCATGTTTTAATGATAATTGTTCCATTTGTGCTCAGTAGTTGTAATCTTTTTCTTGACAACTAATAGGAGTAGAGAGTTGTTATATTTTTAAACTGCATTCATCTGCAGGTTAAGTAACTTTTTCTTATCTCTCTGATTTATTTTTTCTTCTTTCTTTTTCTTTTAAGAAAACGAACTTGGCTTACCATTCAGCAATTATGTTCCTGTTGTTTAATCAGCATGAGGGAGAGAACCCTAATTCACTCTCTCCTTTGATGGCCCACTTTCTTTTCCTCTCTTTTCTCATTTCGTTCTTTGATTATTTGCTCGGATAATTTCAATTGTTTGGGAGGACAACATAGAAATACATGGTTATTTTCGTGAAAAAAGAATTTCTATAAGAATGTTTTGCCATTTTGGAAGTTTGAAATACTTCAGATGTCATGTAGCTGCAGCTATTTGTAGTTTGGATAAAAAATAACAGTTGCTTCTATTGTTTACATGATGACAGGTCTGAAACCAATATTTTAGGTCATTTTTTTTTTGTGCATTGCTGTATGCTGCATAAAATCAACCTACTCGTCCATTCGTGCCGAGGAAATTGATGTCCCACGTCATGTATCACTGCTATTTTGTTTGTTGTGATTTTCTTTGGCATCTTTCCTAATATATAATGATCACTGATTCTAATTCTTCGTATTGACAGCGGCATCCTTTCTTCAGCTTCAAGATGGGCTTTCCTTCAGCTATTGGACAAGCTTTGAAGCTTGCATGTGCTGGTTACCTTGTTTCAGCTGTGTTGACTATTTTTCTGCCTAAGACTTTTAAGAGTCAGGCTACAATGGGAAATTTCATTGCTGAGCAGATCATCTTTTACATTGGGACTTTTGTAGTTTTTCTCTGTTGGGAATTAGGCCATCATTTACATCAGGTGAGCTCCTCAATCATGTTATTTCTGTTATGACGGTCATTCTTCAATTAAAAAGCTGCAACTGTACATTGATTTGGCCGTATAGGTGCTACTTACAAAGAGATTGATATTCGCACCTCCGAAAGGAACAGCAGCAGCTGAAACAAATCCAAGTGAACCTCTTCTTTCAGCATTGGAAGAGAGCACACCAAAATCTCTTTTGCAGTATCTTGCATATCTTGACCTATGTATGGCTTGTGAGAGGAATGTTGATACATGGCGCAGAGCTGCCTTTTTCGAAGAAACAGGTGAGACTTACAAAAGAGTTCTAGCTGTATGCCTGAGGCCTCTGGAACAGCTCACACTGAAGTTGGATGGACATTTGAAAAGTTTTTCAGTCGACAATTCTTTCCTGCTGGCCCATCAGCTACACTCACCGACAGAACAATTAGTAGAGTCAAGTCTTTATGATCCATTTTATGAATTCCAGGTATGAACTTTATGTTATCATTATGTTTTCATTTATAGTTGTGGAGTGGTCAGTTTTTTTTTCCTCTTGTTTATTTGTTACATTCACACTCACAAGCTTTAGAATAGTCATGGAGAAATTTGTTGGTTATATTTCTCAGATATTTAGTAATATATTCAGATTGTCTTTATAGGCTGAAATTTTGTTTCTTTGCTCTGTTTTCTTTAAGTTTCAATTTTCTAACAAAATTTACTAGTGCTTGTTGATTATATGCCCACCCTGTTAGAGCTCTGGTAGTTGTATTTAATTATGTGTTGACACCAATAAGAATGGTCATGAAAACAAAGTGTGGAACATGGAAACTCTTGAAACTTTAGTTTGAGGGATATGCTCATAACTAGGGTTGCCAATTAACCAATCTGCTCATGAGTAGCTTGTGTTAGGCCCCATTTTGTGTTTTTTCTTGGTTAAAGTCCAATCTATAGTTTTAAAGTGTTGGCTGCGATGGATAACCCATTACGAAGTTCTGAGATTCGGGCTGAACGTAAATGCTTCCCTGTGGAATATTGGGATTTTTGCATTACTGAAAGAAGTCGGAAGTTCAGATTTTGTGTCGAATTACCTGAAGATTGTACAAGATGGGAGGCTTTGAAAAATGCTGCTGCTGCCTCATCTTTTTTTGGGGTTGGGGTTTTGGGGGGGTTCAAGAAATTTGAAGCTAGCTACTTTGTATCCTGGGTTGAAGAGATAAAAAACAATAGAGTCACTTTCTTGAAGATTTCAGAGAAGTCTACAAAAGGAAGAGTGAATCGTTTAATGGTCCCAAATGTTATGGAGGTAGTGGGTCAAGGAATTTGGAAATTTGATTCTGAAAGCTTGTTTGGGAGAGTACAGATCCACTGGAATGCACATATTCAAAGGTCAAGTGATTAAAAACTGGGACTGTGCATATGATAAAAACAGAGTATCCGTTGAACTCCAAAAGTACTTCCTGGGAGTCTTATAGGTCCTCCTAGGCTGATAACAAAGAATTGGTGGATATTGGCATTTGGAGCGAAGCAATTGTGTATTAGGGATAGCATTTATGATTCCAGGGGTTGTATTCAGAGAACTATGGCCAAAGTGTGGAAGAAAAATTTCAAGATGCTTCCTTTTCAAGCTGATATGATGATTTTCTTCTGTTAAGATGCTATGTTGATGTGCGAAATATGTAAGTTCCTGGAAATATTATTTGGAAGGTGCTTTAATGGTGAGCTTAAGAAAATGGTATCCTGGAGCCAACCTTTTTTGTAGCAAGGTATCTTTTTCTTGGTGAGTGGATTGCTATTAACTACAGCCTTATTATCTCTGGAAATTGGTGGTTTTCCAACAGATTGGGGAATGCTGTGAAGGTTTATTGATGTTTGATTGTGATTCGTTACATAGTTTGTTCGAAGCTAAGATCACTAGATCAGGGGTTACAAAGCCAATTTCGGGGCTCCTTCCAACTTCGTTGACCATCAAATTGGAAGGAAAACTCTAAGTGAAGGTTGGGGTTTTAGGGGGCTGTGGGCAGATATTGAAGTTTCAACGGTCGTTGTCCGACAGGCATGGATAGTACAAAAAAAAAATTGTTCAAGCAGATACTTCCCAGATTAATAGCGCTGGTCTTGCTTTAAATATGAACAAGTTACAAGACAATGGTGTTTTTGGGAGAGATTTCAAATTATAATTTAATGATGATAGTTTCACATTAACGAAGGTTAGTTACCATAATTTCAAAGAATCTATGGGTTTGGGCTGGGTGGATGAAATTGGCTCTTTAAAGAAGTAAGAAAGTGCCTCAGTGAGGGTGGTCCTGGGGTTGGAATTAGAAATGAGGCTTTTAAAAGGCTGGATAGGAGATGTGTGGGCCTTCTAGGCTTTCTAATAACAAGCCAGTGAATTTTACAAAAGGGCCAGTAGTTTGTGAGCCAAATCTTGGACCTTTAACAAATTGATATGGATTCTGATATACAGAGAAAAGCATTTAATGGAGCAGATGGGTTAGGGCTATTCTTACAAATTTGCCTAAGGAAGAAGATTTGGGAGATTTCATGGTGGCGTTGCAGCAAGATGGCCAAGAGATCAGTAGAGAGAAAGGTCTGAAGAAGGATTGTTTTGGAATCTTAGAAAGGCTGGCGATACCCTCGAATCATGATTTGCATCTTTTCGTGGAATTTGATGATGAAAGGAAAGAGCTTTTGGAAAAAGAGTTGATTTCCTATGGAAAATTTGAGGAAGATGCTGAAGAGGATTTCTATGGAGTTGAAGCAGTCAAAGTTGATTCAGAGTTGGGATCCAACTCGGAATAAAGTAAAGGATATTCCATGAGGGTGATTTACAGAGTTCTGATGGACTATTTGCAGAGCAAAAGGAGGGACTCGATGCGATGAATCTTCAAGTATGCTCTGGGCTTAATCCTTGGTCTGGTGAACACCTTGCTTCCCTGGTGAGGCCTCTTATGTCTGGAAGATCATCCTTATTGGGGTTCCTTAAGAATCGAGAAGGGGATGGGGGCTGTGATGGGCATTCAGGGACAGCCACAGTTGAAGGTATCAGCCGAGTCGTATCCACCTTGGCCACTACCGATATGATATTGATACCCGTTATGAAAAAATCCCCAATTGAGTTTGAATGGATTACGTATTGGCCCAACTCGGTATAACTTGGGCAAATCACCAGTTCAAACCGATTCTATCCAAATCGTCCCACAGAAGTTACTGAACCCAACGACAGCAAAAACATGCCAAAAAAAAGGTAAAGGAGATGTGAAAGATGAAGACTTTATGTAGGCAATGAGTAAACCCTAAATCAGATAAACCCCCCCCTCTTTCTCCTCCTCCTCTAGCAGTGTTCCAGATCCAGAGTTCCAGACCAAAGTCTTAGCAATAGCAGGCAGCAGTCTTCCATCACTAGGCTTATCTAATTTTTCCATGTTTCCTCGATTACATAGGTTGTCTAAAACCCACAATTCATCTATTTGAAGTATGATCTAATCCTTTTCTTCCTCCAAATGATCGAATTTTGACTTGAATGTGAATGATAGACAACTTGTTGAGATATCTTCACTTGTGGGTAGTTTGAATCTTATGTTGAGTCTCCTTCTTTGGACCGAAGGAAGTTGATTATTTTGTTTTCGAGGGAGTTTTCTTGCAAAATCCCTTTTTGAGTTCTTGATGAATAAATCTTGTGTTCCAACCACTCATCGTTGATGAGTTGGAAATCTAAGCCTCCCCTAAAGGGACAAGGTTTTGCTTGGTTGCTTGAAAATAAGGAACTCAATACCACTAATTTTCTCCAAAAACGAAGACCATCCTACTTTCTTCAGCAGCAATGGTGCATTTTATTCAAAATTGAGGAGGAATATCTAGATCATTTATTTTTGCATTGTTCCTTCGTCTAAAATTTGTGGAATAGGCTTTTGGGTATATTTGGAATCTCTTGGGTATGTTCCAAAACATTGGGTTTTGATCTTTGGTTCAAGTGACAAAGCCAAGATTTTAGGGACCACGCGGTTTTAGCCATGTTTGGGTCGCGTGGTTGGAATTAAATGGCCAAATATTTTAGGAAAGAGAGTCTGCCTGGGAAGATTTATAGGGGAAAAAAATCAGTTCATGGCTTCTCATTGGGCTTTCACGTCTAGAGAATTTGAAGAAATACGCTCTTTTTGATCAAGAATCATTTGGGTTCAAGTGTGTGCCGATTATTGAGGCTTGAGCATCTTGCTATGTATTCTATGATATGCTTTTAGCTTTTTGATTTTTCTCTTCTTTTTTCATTTTAATGACTCCTTGTCCGTTCATGTACTTCTTTACTTTTGTTATTCATAACATGTGCCTGTTTCCTATCAAAAAAATTTAAGTAGCTTCATTTTCCATCTCTCCTCGCCAAACTAAATGAATTTCTTGGGGGCATGAAGGGAATTCAGATTTCAAGAAAGAAGAGTTTTTGAAATGGTGAAAGCACAATGCAAAATAGTACCTCTTCATTCTATTCAGGCCTCTAGCCTTCCAAATACTTCTGGTTATGACTTACCATTTGTTAAGCATCTAATGTCACTTGTCCAGATTTTGTTTGAGTTTTTTTTTTATTATAGTTGTCTTTCACTTGGTATCAATCAGAGATTATACAAATGGCACTTACAGGTTTAGTGACATTTTCAGGAGATAAAGATGACATGTTTTGTAAATAGTTTCGGCCACAAAATTTTAAAAGATCAAGATAGATGGGATGATATTTTTTGGTCAAAATATTGGAAAAGAAGAAAAGGGAAGGGGAGAAGGGGGTAGTCTTTGCGAGTTTGTATGCTAGGATGAAATGCTAATGATTTTTGCCAACTATTTTGCAGCTATGTGCATGGTCTGCCCGGATTGTAGCTTCGCTGACAGTCTATTCACACAAGGAGGACCGTTTTGGAGTTGCTCAACTCTCTGGTAGCAATGCTGCTGTTTTGTCTGTGCTGCTGTCTTGCTTATTGGCTGTTGAAACAGTTATAGGAAAGAGGACCAACTTACAATCCTCACATTATAAGATGGGTCCAACTGGTATAAAATGGGCCGCACTGAGCACAGAAAAAAGAGACTTGGCGGTGAGGGTCATGGCCAAAAAAAGAGGCAGCCTTCTGTACTCGAAAGCATATTCTATGGCAGACATACTGAAGACTTCCATTTACTGCATTGTGTCTGCTTTCAACGATGAGCTGCTGAATATTGCTAAAGCGGGACTTCTTGAAAAGGATTGGATTATTGGAAGGAAGCCTATTTATGGGACCCCTGAGTTGCTTTCCCAGAAATTGCGTCTGTTCTTGGATATCCAAGCTAGCTAGCAGTTTGATTGCAATGGCTTCCATTGCTTTCTTATTCTTGCTGTGGAGGCCAATTGTGAAGAGGTTCTCCTGTTCGAAAATATCGCAGTCATGGCCAGGATATGAAATGAAATTCCCATATTAGTTGGGAGGAAATTGGAAGAAAGTTCACATACAATAGAATGTTGTTCATTGTTTAGTAGAAAATCGAACTTTATACCCTATGGTTGAGCTGGATCTGCAAGTGTTAACGAAAGGATGAAAAAAAAAAGGAAAAGCTTTGATTGCTAGGTTACTAGTCGTTTAGATTTACGTATTAAACCAATGTATTTTGGTATGTTTTGGGCAGTTACCAGTGCACAGTTTGCTCATAGAAATACTTGAATTAAGGAGCTAAAAATGTATTACTCAAACAGGGTGGGCTTAGAGCCCCGAAGGAAATTTGAGGATCAGTGACGTGAAGTCTGTTTTGAAGCAATCTTATAATATTTTCTGAGGACTAACTGATGGTCAATAACAAGTTTGGTGGTCATTTTTTTGGTGGTTGTGTCTTTCATTATTGCTAGTCACTGTAATTAATTGATAATCAGCTATTGATTAACTGGTTGATTAATTAGTAATTAACATTTATCATTTTTAATTTCTTTTTAGTGGTGTCCTTTCAATAAAACTTCATAATCACTGAGCTAGCTCTGTTTTGTCAAACCCAAAAAAAAAAAAACAAGGAAGCTCTTGCCTTTCTGNTCCTTTCAATAAAACTTCATAATCACTGAGCTAGCTCTGTTTTGTCAAACCCAAAAAGAAAAAAAAACAAGGAAGCTCTTGCCTTTCTGCGAAGATGAATTTATAAATTTTTTTTTTACAAAAATGCGTCCAAATGATCTTTTAAATCATTAAATGCAAGTAGTGTATTTTTAAGGTGATAAAAACAAGTACAAGTACTCTTTTTTGTCTTTAGTCCATTCTAATTAAAAGTTTTTTAAATGACCATCATACTATTAAGTATACCAAAATAATTAAATGCTTCTCTCTCTCTCTCTCACACACTTTCTCTTCTTTCACTCTCTCCTTTCTCTTCCATCAAATCATTTTTTCTTTTCTGTCACTCACCCATTTTATCTTTTGTTAATTTCATTGTCACTCTTTTTTATGAAGTCAATATATTAAAATCATCTTATACTCTCTCTCTCTCTCTCTCTCCCTTTCCTTGCTTATGTACTATGAATCAACTTGCTGGAACAACGATTAAGAACTTGAATTGAAGTGTTCATATTTCACTTCAATCTTTTAGCCCCGGGCTCGAGCTCAATCACAAGTTGGACTCGTCTATAGATTTCAAACAGAAGAATCGTAGATAAAAATAAGAGTTTTGCTGATTCAAACCTCTAAAAATTGTCATGGACTCTCATATTTCTTTCCCCAAATACCTTATGAAATTGGTTTTTATAGATTATTTGAGTTTTTTTAATTAAAAGACTATAATTTTGAATCAATTAATAACATTTTTTATTCATGGAAGTTGTCAAATGTTTTAACTCTCATCTATTCAATATCTTTTTAATTACAACAAAAAATTTGTGAATTTATTTGTCTTATGGACTTTATTTTTCATGATTATTTTGTTTTGAATTTATCTGTTTTAATAAATCTTATATTTTTAAAACTATTTTAGGTCAATTTATCTGTATTAGTAAAACTTTGATTTTTATTATATGTGACATGAATTTATCTATTATATAAATTTTATTTATTCTCAATCTCTAACCTTGAGTTAGAATCAATAACCATGTAATCAATTTTTTGTGATTTTTATTAACATCTCAATCCTTTTCATGATACATATATTTTCGAATCCCTTTGATACAATATAGTACAATATATTTCTTATAATATACCCGAAGGTGAAGATAGATTGTCAAGGATTTCAAAATGTCTCTCAATTCTCTTGCCATATTTTTTATGAAATAATTAAAATTAAAACAAGACTCCCAATGATTTAATTAATGCTCTTCAATTTAATTGCATTAGTCATCACAGCCTTAACAATTATTCATAATCCTTGGGATAATGACAATCTGCTAATTGGTAGGGATAACTTTAGTCTTTTATCCCAAAAATTGTATAAAGTTTCTCCATTCATGTTAAAGCCAATCTGCATTGGTATTGACATTGATTCTTTAAATTACATTTTTTCAATTATCACCACTAACAGTAAAGATCGAAATCTTCAATACTCATACCAACAATGCTCAAGTATAACCTAATCAAACATATCTTCATAATGTATTACGAGAGACATGAAAAAGAACTTCATATTCCCCAAACATAACTCCAATAATATTAAAAGATTCGATAGAACAATAGAAGTTGATATCAAACTTTGGATATCTTCCTTATTCTAATAATTGTCCCTATATTTGACCTCAAGCTTTTGAACTTCTATATTCTTTAGTCCAACAATATTGATAGTCAATGATAACTGCCAATAAATAAATCAAGCTTCCTAGGTTTTCTTATCATATGTCTCTAAATCCATACCTGTACCCCTGACCTCAATTTTCAATTAAGATTTTTGTGTGTAAGTCAACTATCAATTCTCCACACTCAAGTAAGAGATTCCAAATTGTTAATAACTTAGAGAGCCTAAGTTAGTAAACTAAGCCTACATTGAGATATGATTGCCTAATTACGTCGTCTTCAATAAGTATCCCCTAGGGGCTGTTTGATAAGAGGGTATTGGGGGGCTTGGCAAGATGGATTTGAGAAAAATAGTCCAAAGGACCCCCAAATCTCATGTTTGGATTGAAAATTTAATCACAGGTTCCCAAACCTAGCCCTGACCCGAAGATTAAACTCATAATCATGGGTTTGACAAAACCTAGGGAGGGGTGGGTTTGGGAAAATGGGTTAAGGGGTTAAGGATGCAAAAGACAATTGTACCTCTTAACATAAGTATGAATTCATTGAATTAGATTGATCAAGGGTAAAATAGTTATTTACAAGACAAATAACTATTAATAATTATGATATATCCATGGGCCCTACATGTGTATGCGTGGGTATGAATTGGATTGAATGTTGAATCTCATCTTTGTAAAGAGGAGTTTGAGTTTGGAAGGGTTTGGAGAAGCCAATCTAAACCCCTCCCCAAAATTCATCCAAACAAGCCCTAATAATGGTCTTGCTAAACAATTAATACTTCTAAATCATTGTTGATATCCTCAATCCATGGATATAAACGATCTCCAATTCGTTTAAGAAGCATAACAATTATTCATACCCTTATTCCTAGAACTGACACATGTTCATGTTTATTTCATCATATTTCTTAAATGGGCCATATTTGAGCATTATACTCACGTTAGAAAAAGATATATCACTTTCAAAGTTTTTCCACTATAAGGCAAAAATTTCAATTGTTCCTCAATTTCCTAGCTTTCCAACTCTCTCTCATAACGTAATATAACCCTTTTCTATATTAAGCCTTGTCCTAAGAATGCCCTAGTTTACCTTGTCTATACCCAACAAATGAAATAATCACACTTTGTTGTTTTCCAAAAGTTTAGGCAACCCTAATAATCCAATAAACACCAAAAATTGACCTAAGATAAAACAATAACCTCATCATATTCCGTCATCCCTCACTTACCTCAACATACTTGGATCTTATACTCTCATACTGTTTTAGAGTTTTCAATACCATAAAGGTCATAATCATCAATCACAGAATAATCACCAAATAGCATTCTGTCTCATATTCCTTCAAGACACTTAAATCACCCTTTTATCATAAACACCAATAACCTCAACGACATCCAGAAATTTATGCCTCATAAACAAAACCCAATTCCTTACAGATTCATGCCAACATTCTTTGAATAACCAAGAACAAATGACCATCTGTTTATTAAAATAGCCCATAACGTCATGGTCAATAGCTAGCATATCCTTACCAAACAACACATCAATTATATTGAGCTAGCTAAAACTCATGAATTTATATATAGAAACAATCCATAAACCTAACTAAACATTAACTCACACTTATCCTTAAGTAAATAACTTATCTATCTTTCTTTATTACTTACCGAAAAAAACAAAATTCCAAGATGATTCAAGCCTAAGGTTCCTTTATACAACCATAAAAATACCAACTCATGCTTAACTCGTAAACATATTATAACTTCCAAAAGATTCAAGCCTAGATTTTTTTTTCAACCTATACCTAAATCTCTAGTGGGTAATTCACAACCTATAACTCCTATGTAAAACCTAATTCTTAAGCTCTGATACCAAACCTTTAACGCCCCAAAATTCTCCCTGGAATGCATTACTATCTATAAACCATCCAATCATGAGAGCAACTAAAAATAACCATTTAGACAATAAACATTCCATTCATCCATTAAATACCAGATACTAAAGACAATAAAACATTGTACATTCTCTGATTTACAATTCAAAATCAAACCATAACTAGCAACATAATAATTAAATATAATAAAAACATTATTTCATAGCCAACTCTAAAAAAAGCATTGTAGACTACGAAGAAGCATCTCTAAGCCTCCATGTCGGGATCTACACACTCATCCTCTTCAGTCTCGAGGTCAACCTGTTCATCTAATCCGACATCTTCCTTTCTGCCAGAATCTATAAATTTGTTGTTGTAGGGGGTAAGCAAAAGCTCGAAGGAAATTTCTCTCAAATCCAAACAAAGTTTTAAAATAATTTAAAGAAGACAAGTCTTTTTTGGAAAACAACATATATACCTTTTTGAAAGTAAAACCATGACATTTGTATGATCTCAAGTGTACGAAATACAATAAATCAATGACAAGAATAAACATTTAAAGTCAAAGTAATCAATAAATAATTAAATAACATCATCTCAATTTTTCTCAACTATCTCATGCATGTTGATTGCTTCTTAGGAATCTAGACAATGATTGTACCTCATTCACCCACCATAATTCTATCAAATCACAAACCACTTTAGGAAGGACGTATACCATCTCACA